CTATGTATATCTGTGCAGTAAAACACTCTAAAGCATGGTGGGAGGCAAGGATGAGCAGCAGGGAAGGAAGGAGAGGGTCCTACAGCTCTTGAGAGAGAAGTTCACCAGTGGTGTTTTCCAACAGTAGAGCTGTAAGCAATGCTCATGCAAAATTTACTTGCTGTAAAAGGATGCCTGTGATCATATTTTGTTTCCATGTAAGTAGAGGACTCAGACTGCATCCTGAACTGAGCTGCTGGTGCACACTGATAACCCTGTGTGAGCTACACACCTGGCTGCTCTGAGTTGAAGGCCAGATGTATTCTTCACCCTCAACTTTAAGATACTTGTTGATAACTTTGGCATGAACTTACTGGTTTGGGCTCCAATTAAGGTTATTTTTATTCCCTATGGTCATTATTTTCCATGCCCTCAGCAGAAATTGCTGGGGCTATGATAAAACCAGACAGTTTTAGTTCCCTTCTTTTCCTTCCCTTTTGAAAGTGTTCTGCTTACCCTGCATGGGCACCAATACGTAACGAAACCTCCCAGATGCACAGTTTCTGTCGTGCGCAACTTTAGTTGCCTGAAGAATGCTGCTGGTGTTCTAGGGAGTTCTCACACTTGATTTTGTAAGTGGAGGCTTTCGTATCGATCCAGGGTCCTCTAAGGAAATTGCAGGGCTTAAATAACACCACCTTATTCACAGAAAGCAATGCCAGAACTGGACCCTGTTTTAGTGTTGCCTTCTGTGTGGGAATACTCCCTGTAAAAGTTTAATGCCGCTGCAACCTGTGACTTGAGAGCAGAGCCGGCTGCTGGGTAAACCATTCAGTTAATTACTGCGACTGCCATCACTCATTAGAGCCAAGGAGGATGCAGGATGAGCAGCAGTGGTTTAATGAAGGAACAAAGACTGGTCAAGGGAAGGGAGAAGTTCTGAAGGACAAATGGCAGCAGTCCGTTTTTGATTGCCAGAATAGGTCGCCTCTGGGAAGCCCTGTTATTCTGGTGCTGTAGGGGGAATAGCGAGGCAAGTCCCTCACTGTGAAGATGAGGATTGGTTGAAGCTCTGTATGCACGCCTTATTCAGAGCTTAAGTCTTCTCAGTTCCCTTTATTTCACTCCAGGTCCAGATACTGAGCTAAACCGCACAAGGAGAAGTCTTCTTTTGCTGTTTCCCTGCTATGCCTTCCTCTCCCCAGCACAGTGGGACTGACTGTGACTATCACTCAATCACACATGGTTTGTGAATTGGCTTTTAAAAATGAATCACAAAAGCTGTCCTCCCTGCAGCAACCATTTTCTCTCCATGGACCACTGATGCTTTGGTCAGTAGATGCTAAATTTTGTGATCCTGCTACCTGTTTGAGCCCCCAGATCCCTGATTGTCCCATCCTTCCTGCTTCCTGAGGACTTGCTGTGATCGTTTACCTTACAAGACCATCACGTCTTTACCACCTGGAGCTCTGTATCACTCTGTAAATCCCAGTTCTATCTTGTTTGGGTGCCCAAGTGCGCAGCTTAGATGGCATACATGATGCCTGTGACCAGCTGTGCTGTGGTTGCCCTACCCCTGGCCATGCTCAAGGCCAGGTTAGACACAGGGGCTTGGAGCAAGCTGCTCTAGTGGAAGGGGTCCCTGCCTGTGGCAGGGGTTGGAGCTGGATGAGCTTTAAGCTCCCTTCACCTCAAACCGTTCTATGATTAGCTTTCAGTAAGACAGTAAAAGAATAAACACATTTTATTCCCCGAGGTATAGTTTGCTAGGACTTAGACTCATTGAAGTGTGTTTCTGATCCCACCTCCCTCTCCCACTTGTATATAAATATGGAAGCAACATTTTGAAGCAATATAAATTGTAGCTGGAGCATTCGTGTATGTGTGTGACCTTTGAAAGCTTTCCAGAAACGCTTGTTACTGCTTTAAGGGTGTGCACTTTCCTGACAGATTGAGGCTTGCTTGATGGGAATCAGTTCAATTAAATATAGCATCAATGGAAAATAACACAAACCCTATGTAATGTATAGTCATTGTGGCCACCACTTTAACAGGATTTGACACTTCCCCTTTCTCAGGAAAAGGAGATTCCTTTCCACATGAATTTAAGCATTCATGTAACTTCCCCTTTCATCTTAGAAAAATATACAATATTGTTATTATTATTCCTAAAACGATTACATATTAACTTATGGCTTGTGTCAAACTTCCTCTTTGGCTAGGAATGTAGCCAGTTTAAAAAGGACAAAAGCACATTCCTATATTGTTCTTAATAATTGCACACAACTGCTCTTATTCCCTTAATTATAGAATTAATAACTAAATTTGGTTTCTGTTTAGAGCTTAGCCCGTTTAGTGAAGAAAGAAAACATAATTGATGTTTGGGAAATTGAAACGGTCAGCAGTGCAGCCAGGCACTTGAAATGAATGGTTTATAGCAAGGTGTGCCAATGGCTGGGGGACACAAAGGGAAGTCATTATTTAGTGCAGCGCAGGTTTTATGTAGCACCAAGATTGTGAGCAGTACAAATGTCACGTGCTGTTCTGGTAAGCAAGATGGTGCTTTGGTGACAGTGGGCATCCAGTTGATTAAATTCAGGGCTTCAACAGTTCCTGGTAACCAGGAACATTCTGGACTTGATTCAGATCTCAGAGGACTATTATTAATCTAAATATGTTTTTACCAGCCCATTCACAGTAGGCTTTCTTCTGAATAGAATGTAAATATCTGCAGCAGAATCACTAGCACGCATGTAGTCATCTTTTGATAACAAAGAGCTCATCCTCAAAAAGCAGAATGAAGACAGAAATAACTTGTACAACCACAAAGTATTAGTCACATGTAGCTTTTATATAATGCTTACGTCTTCAATCCCTGTGCTGGCAGTTGGGCTTCTTCGTAATATTTATTTGGAGAGAAGTTTCTTTCTCACTTGGCAGGGGGAATAAAATGAAGCCAAGAGTTAAAGGACATACTGGGGGCACACAGTGCTTAATGGGGAGAGTATTGCAACTAAGAAGCATCCATCATAGAATCACAGACTGGTTTGTGTCGGAAGGGATGTGAAAGCTCACACAGCTTCTCTGGGCACCCTGTGCCAGCGCCTCAGCACCCTCCCAGGGAAGAGCTTCTGCCTGAGAGCTCAGCTCAGTCTCCCCTCGGGCAGGTTAAAGCCATTCCCCTTGGCCTGTCCCTACATCCCTTGTCCCAAGCCCCTCTCCAGGTTTCCTGCAGCCCCTTCAGGCACTGGAGCTGCTCTCAGGTCCCCCCTTCAGGAGCCTTCTCTTGTCCAGGCTGACCCAGCCCAGCTCTCTCAGCCTGGCTCCAGAGCAGAGCTGCTCCAGCCCTCGCAGCATCCCTCTGGGCTTGTTTGAGCAGGTCCACATCCTTCCTGTGCTAGCGGTCCCAGAGCTGGATGCAGTACACAGAGCAAAGCCAGCAGCAGAATGGAGGTCTGTAGTGGTGTCTTCTTATGTGCTTTCCCCACTCAGCCACTGGCCTTTTGGATGCGCTCTTTTGGCAGCAGCTTGAGTGAATGCTGCAGCATTTGTTGTGTTCTCCCTCCTGTTTGTTTTTCTAGGTGAGGAGGTGTATTTCCTCTTCGTTCTATTATGCCTTGGTGAAAAGGACAAAGAAAAACGCATAGCTTGAAATACTGAAAATAGCTTTTCAGCTGCTGAAATCCAAACTGTAGTAGGCTTAAGCCTGCCAGAATGCTTGAACGGGTATGTGTTAAGCCTAGAGCCCAGGGGAAGGCTCACATGTGCAGATTTTCCTTTGTGGCTTTGTCCATGGCACGCACTGTGACTATGTAATCATAGGAATATAGGAAAATGGGTGGGATGCTCTGGGAGATAAGCCGTTTGTTATGGTCATTACCCAATTCTAGCTGCTTTCTTTTGTCTTGGTCCTGTTCATACCTGTTGAATATTTGTTCCTAACTGAACTGCAAGAGTGTCAAATGGAGTTGGAAGCACTCTGTGATCTCAACCTGAAAGTTTATTTCTCAAGGCTGAAAAGAACTGCATTATAATCAAGTTTTAATCTCAATATGTACAAGAAATCAGAGTATTTAAGGGGACATTTTTATTCTTACCTTATTGTTGTGTTTATAGACAGTGAATTATGTTAAAGCTTGGTTTGTCCATAACCATATGTGATGTTCTCAGTTCTGTTCAGAATTACCAGTAACAAATGGTGCTGTTTTCTTTGGTTGGTGTTCTAAGATGAAATATGGGATGGAAAATGTTTAATGTCGCTGGAGGACACTCAGGACTTTGTGTCGTTTTACGTAAGTTTTAGACTAAAAAAGTCAAACCAAAATATTGGGCTCCAGTCATCAAACAAACAAGGAAAAAAAAAAGGATGTCTTTCCTTTAAGAGAAAAAAAAAGAAACTTCATCACTCTTAAATGTGCTATAAAATTCCTGTAAAATTAGAGCGAAAGTAATGCTTTTTAAAATGAATCTCATGTACTTAATTTGTTGTAGAAGTCTAGAAAATTAATGAATGGTCTGAGGAAAGTGGAGGCAGTTATTTATAGGAATATAAGGCTGCACACACATTGCCATCTGGTAGCAATTTTGAACCAGAAGTAATTCATCTCTTTTACTTCGTGCGATGTAATTGTGGAACTTGTTGCTGCAGGGTGTACAGAGGCCAAACTTGTAATTGGGTTCAGAAAGGAAGTGAGTGTGCTCGTGGTAGGTGGATTTGTAAGAGAATGCTGAACAATCTGGATGCAATCCTGGCACAAGTAACCCCATGGTTTTTTGTGGATTTCTGGAAGTTGGGAAGGATTTAGGAGAAGGATTTGTTTCCAGTATTATTTGTCACAAAGTGCGTTTACGTTTTCTCCCAAACTTGAACGTGTTTGTAGTTGCGTGCACATGGAGTTACTCCTTAGTGGCAGTTCTTTATAAGCACTGAATGCACCTACCCCTACTCTTTTTGGTCACATGCATTGCCATGTAGAAAGCTTTTACTCAGAAATAATATGCCTGCTCTTTGTTTGCTTTAGGGCGCCAGGCCTTGTTTGACCATTCGCCACACAACTCGAGCTCAAAAGTAAAAGAGAGGAAGCTACAAGGGACGTGTCCTCCTCTTGGTCGTAGAAGCTATGGAAAAGCTTGTTTGCACGAAAGCAGTCAGAGGTCCCCGCTTTTTAATCCCCGCAATGGTTTTCACACTTTACATTCAGAGCACAGTCCTGTGAAGCCACGGATTATCACAGTGGTGAAACCTGGTGGCCACACGCTCAGGAGGATAACCTTGCTTCTCAACAGGAGGTCGGTCCAGACCTTCGAGCAGCTGATGGCCGACATTTCAGAGGCTCTGGGATTTCCACGCTGGAAGAATGACCGTGTGCGAAAGCTTTACAATCTGAGAGGCAGAGAAATCCAAAGTGTTTCTGACTTCTTCAGGGAAGGTGATGCATTCATAGCGATGGGCAGAGAGCCCCTCACCTTGAAGGACCTGGAAGTGGTGTTACAAGAACTTTACCCTGAAAACCCATACGCTGCCAGTGCCGTCATTCAGCAGAATGAGGAGCAGTCCCAGAAGCTGATGAGCAGGCTGTATGACAAGGCTTCCAAAGTGGACGGTGGCTTTGATGAAACAGAAATTGCCAAGAACTGCAGCAATGGCATGTCTCCCAAACTGGCAGCCGGACATAAAGGGAAAAGTCAAGCCAAGGCAAAGCAAGAGGAAAAGATGAGAACAAAAAAGAAGTGGAGTAGGGAGGGCTGGGATGGAGAGCAAGGGGCGAAGCCTTCTAGGAAGATCCGAGAAAGCGAGAGGTACTTCAGCCGTGAGAGGAGCCCTGAGGATGGGTTAGAAGAGAGCTCGGAGGAGGTGGTGAGATGTGAGAAGTGCGAACAGGAAAGGCAGGCCAGGCAGAAGTTAGAACGGGAAAGGCGGGCTGAGGCCTCATTAGAGAGCAGAGACCTGACCGCGGGTGCGTGTCAGAGGTACCACATAGAGAGAAATGCAAAAATCAGGAACTGCCGGAAATCCTCAGAAACCTGTCTGGAAGGTGAGGAAGTTGGTTGGAAGGATAATAGCTGTAGGAGGACGTGGAAGCCCCTGCTTAGGAATGTTAGTGAAGGGCTGGAGAAACAAAAAAGGAGCATCGAGAAGGAAAGGGATGTGGAGAAACATGAAAGCCATGGGAAGGAAGTAGTGAAAATCAAGAAGAATGCTGTAGAAGGGCTGCAGCTAACTCGGGAAGCGAAGGAAGAGAATGGAAGTAGCTGCATAATGAACCAAAGTGGTTGGCTAAAGAAAGACACTCCGAGGGATGCTGAGAAACCATCTAAAACACATAGAGAGGGACAAAGAGCTAAAGAGGAGGGTGCCAGAAGAGAGGGGAATATCGCATGTAGAGAGAGTGACCTGACGCGACGAGAGAAAACAGGGGAGCGCAGAGCCAATAAGGAAGAAAGCAAGGCTCAGGGGTTGGAAGGCACAAGCCGGAGGCATGCCATTAAAAACAGAACTGATGTGGAAAAACACTACGAGATTGGCAGAACTATTGGGGATGGGAACTTTGCAGTGGTGAAGGAATGTCGCCACTGTGACTCCAACCAGATCTATGCCATGAAAATCGTTGATAAATCCAAGTTGAAGGGGAAAGAGGACATGATGGAGAGTGAAATTCTGATCATCAGGAGTCTCTCTCATCCCAATATAGTAAGCTTAATTGAAGTGTATGAGACAGAAGCGGAGATCTACCTAATCCTAGAGTACGTCCCAGGAGGGGACTTATTTGATGCCATCATAGAAAGTGTGAAATTCACAGAGCATGATGCTGCTGTCATGATCACTGACCTGTGTGAAGCGCTGGTTTATATCCACAGCAAGAACATTGTCCACAGGGACCTCAAACCAGAGAATCTTTTGGTAAGTACTGGTAAACTCATTCCACGTGAGCAGGAGCTGAATTCATTTTCCTTTTAGTTGCGGACCTTTGACTATTTAGAAGCAAATACTTTGTAGAGAGAATGTGCTGTGGCAGCTCTGTTTGCAAAAACAGGTATAATTGCGAAGTGAAATTACCATTACAGTTCACCTCACGTAGCTCTCCTGTGCATTGCAGATAGCAGTGCTTGCAGATAGAAACGCAAATAAAAATGACCTCGCTTCCAGGGGTAGGGAGCATTTGTGTCTTTCTGGAAGTCTGGTTTCAGGTGTGAAGGATGACTTTTCTTGTATGAAGCACACCCTGAACCATGAGGCCTTGCAGACCAAAATTTATCACAGTTGCTAATTTAGCTCATTTATTTGATGGACTTCTTTTTGTCCACTACTGCAGTGATTTTTGTCTTGTGACCATTGTTTAGGAGCAGAAGGACGATGCAGCTGATTAAAATAACCTGGCAATAAAACGTGTTGTGGTGCAAACCAGCACTAAAGCCAGCTCAAATACTAGCTTCATGCCAAAGAGAAAAGCTCTTTTTTCCACTGCATTTCTGAGGCTGCATTCTCTGCATCCGGCGCTGAAATCAATAGGATTACTCACATGTGTGAACATGCAAAGAAATGTTTGCAGTGCTGGCACAAGACACTCATTGTAGAACACTAACAGCAAGCAGCTCTCCCTTGCTAATTGTGTGTTCGAGGGTTCCAGATTTCCTGATGGATACCAAGTATTTGCCAGTCTCTAATGAGTGCAGCCTTTAGGGCATGCAGAGGTTGCACAAGGACCTCAACTTCTTGCTCTCAGACCTTTTGACTAAGCGATTGCACTTGTACAAGACCTTGCTGCGTATCCTGCTTAGTCTGATGGCAATGCTTGGTATGTGGTCTGTGTGTAAATAAAAGCTGGGGAGTGCAAATGGCTGATTTCCATTAAAAAGTGGGATTGTAGGCCCTGTTTTCATGCCTTGCTTTGCCAAAACTTCAATTCAAACCACAGGGCTTTCTCCAGAAGCTGATTTTTCCATCATAATGGAAAAGCTCTGCGCCTTCCTATTTGCTGAAAATAAGGCAGTGCCTTTGAAACACCTGAAACCAGATGTTTCATTTCCCTCTGCAATATGTAATCATTGCGGTGATGCAGGTAAGCCAAGAGAAGCAAGATAACAGGTCCATTCTGGTTGTTCTCACATTTAGCTCACAGCACTGCGAACCGGAGATTGCTGGGCAGTGACAATGTTGTGTAGCACTGAAATGATCATGTTGCCTGTTCTGACAGTCAGAAAACACTTGTCAAGGACAGGCTGGCCCCAAGCCTGTAGGTATTTTGACATAGGAGGCTGGTGCTCCCCAAATGCTGGTTCCACTTTCACTGTGGGCAGGGAAATTGTACCTGTTCCAGTTTCACCTTTTGCTGCCTGTTAGTGAGTGTGATGTTTTGCTGCCTGTTTCAACAAGCCAAATGAGTTTATAAGCTCTCGATAGTGTTGGATAGCTGATGTGCCATCTAAAACAGGCCATTTGGGCAAGAGTCTGCCTTTTCTGACTTTTCAGTGTGTTCTCTCTGACTCCTCTGAGTGACTGGACCAGCAGCAGCAGAGTAGGAAGGAGACCTGCCACCCATTTTAACATCAGCCAGTGCTCCACAATAACAAACAGTATTGAAGCAAGTTTCAGGGGTTGTTCTGCTGCTGTTGGTGGGTCAGGGGCTGGGGGGAGCCTTTTGGGAGGAAGCAGAGTGCTGAAAGTGCCAGCATCCCACAGGCATGTCCTTGGGTGTGGGATACCTCTTGCTTCACTGCAGATGTTTAAGTCTGAATTAGTGTCCCCAGACTTCCTCTGTAAGCAGAGGACAGAAATAGGGATGTACTTTCAGGCTGCTGACTTGTTTGTTCTCCTTTGAGATATTCTTTTAGTCAGGGTGAATCTTGTCCTTTATATTTGTGGTCAACAGTTTTCTCCCTCTTTCCAGCAAATGGGAAATGGAAGGAAACAGACCCTTGGGCTGTTTTAGTAAGGAAATGAGTTTGTCTACTGTAAACCTGCTTTGTGTGAGAATCCAACCCTGTTCATGATGACACTTGAACGTAGTAATTTCCATGGCGAATGGCTCATCTCCATCTGAGTTTCCAGAGAAGCAGCAAACTGGGGAAAATGAAAACTGGGGGGAGAAGGAAAACCATTTCTATCCCTGCAGAAGAAAAGGTGGAAATGCACTTTGATGTCCAGCAAAATTATTGGTGCAGGAGAGAGTTGGAAACTGGGGTTAATCATTAGTTCACTGCACTACTGCTCCTCTTATGGAACTGTCCTCTAGTTCTAAGCTTCTGTAGCAGTCCATCCTCATTGGTTTTAGTTTCCCTCCATCCCTCTTTTACTGCTGTGTCTGCCCACAGCGATCAGAGTGGTCGCAGCATTGCTGTGGGGCAGAGGGATGGTGACTTGCAGTGCAAGACCAAAACCTGTTGGACTGCTGGTGTAAAGCCAGCTGCTCGCACTCCCTCCTGTCTGCTAACTGAATCACCTCATTTAGGACGAGGTGTTCAGCAGCGAGAGCTTTGCCACCAAGGATGAGCAATGGGATGATTTTGGTCCCATGAAAGAAGCCAGTCATTTCTTTAATGCTACCTGGAGGAGCAGAATTTGCTGGCAAGGTTTTTGTGGAAGGGATGGTTAATTCTGCAGGTGCTGGCATTCCCTGGCTTGTGAGAAGTTAATTTCAAAGTGTAGTGGTGTTTTTGCAGGGTATGGGATGTAAATGGCACAAAGTCACCTCCTTGCTCCATTGTAGGGGGAAGGGACAGGGTTATATTCGTGACTGTATGCTCATCTCTTTGTACACTTCTGAAGCATACTTACATGGCAGTTGTTTAACACTTGGCTTCATAAACAAGGGTTATAACTGTTTGTGTGTTTGGGTTTCTTTTTCTAAGTTCAACACTTGGCTTCATAAACAAGGGTTATAACTGTTTGTGAGTTTGGGTTTCTTTTTGTAAGTTCAAGTACTTCCTTTTTGTCCTTTAACCTTGCTTTTGTGACACTATTTACGTCTGCACAACGCACTGTTAGAGGTTTCTGAGTACATTTCAGTTAAACCAGTTTGCTAGTTTCCTGTCAGGAGCTTTCAGTCTGATAGAGATTCTTCTAGCTAGCAGCAAGGGCTGTCTGAAACTTAGACATGTAAGCAGTACCTTTTCTTAAGTGCTTCTATTTCTAATATACAAAACAGCCCATGGGCTAACTTGCTGTAAGAAGAATCTGTGCTACCATATGTACGTGCATACAGAGAAATAGTGATGCTATAAATCATCATCTGCTGATCTGCATGATCTGAAATCTGGTGGATTTCACAAGGTAGATAGGAAACCAAACAGGAACATGAAGTACTGGAAATCATCAATATACAGGACAAAAGGAGATCAATCTGTCCTTTATTTGAAGATTAACTTGGCTTTGAACTAGTGTATTATTATCTTCTGGATGTATGGCTGGGATAGCTAGAAATCCTCAGGCAATATTCTGACATCCTTCTATAGCATCTGTATTGGAGAGAGCAGTGAGCAGTTCTGACTGCCTTTAGTCCAAGACTACCAGATACTGGCTTCTCTTGCAGCTGAAGGACACGGGTAGTTGTATGGCCCAAGCTGGCTGGCTACAGAAAGTGTACTGAATTCTGGTCTTACCTCAACTCCAGGCAGCTAAGACAAGGCAACAGTTTTAAATGGACTTTTGGAACCATTCTTTTTAGTCTTGAATGTAGACACAGAAAAAGCTGTCCTGTGGGTGTTACAGCAAGGCTGGTATGTTTGTTTAATGTTCCCATTTTTCCTTTGTTCTCCCATATTCACAGAGCACGTACTGTAGATGGCAGAGGCTGGATTTCTCTGGAGCAGGTTGTCTGTTTCTGTGGTAGTGCTGTGAGTAAGTAATCTGGCTTCAGAAAGCTGAGGAAGCTTTTGTTTCTGTAGTGGAGCGTTATTTGCATGCTCAAGGTGATGGGAAGGTAGACTGGAGAGTACCAAGCTGAGGATGAAGGGAATGCTCCCTCTGCCTGAGCTGACTTTGAGTTGTTCTGAGCATAGCGTTAGTGAGGATGCTGAGGAGTTCTGGGCTGGCGCTTTCAGGTGTGCTGGCAGGTTACATGCTGTCTTGAAAATGACTGTTACAAAGCTGTGAAGATACACCCTCAGTGCATGCTCTTCCTACCTGTCCCGTTCATATAGAATGAAAGCTCGGTGGGTTTGTCCTGGAACAATAGATGGTGCAGTGTTGCCACCTTGTGCTGTGATGAGAGATTAGGAGCCTGGCATGGAAGAGAATGGCCTGGGAGGGACCTTAAAGCTCATCTAGTTCCAATCCCCTGCCATGGGCAGAGACAAGGTTGCCCCAAGCCCTGTCCAAGCCTGTATTTTTCATGTTAGTACAGTAGCATGCAGGGTATTAATTGAAATTCCATGTGACATGATTTTCTTGTATAATTGTAAAAGCTTTATTTATAAAAAAGGAAAATATGAATTCTCCTATTTCATATGCTCAGTGATATAAAATTGAGCATTTCACCCGTGAAGTGCTGTAGCATTGTGCCACTATTACCTCTATTGTTAGACATAGATGCTGCTCTAAGAAGTAACTGGTAACTTTGCAATTGAATTTTCATTTCTGTCAGCTATTGTGCCTGCAGCACATCATGGCAGAACATCATCATGAAGCTGGCTAATGTCATAGACTCATAGAATAGTTAGGGTTGGAAAGGACCTTAAGATCATCCAGTTCCAACCCCCCTGCCATGGGCAGGGACACCTCACACTAAACCATCTCACCCAAGGCCTTGTCCAACCTGGTCTTGAACACTGCCAGGGATGGAGCACTCACAACCTCCCTGGGCAACCCATTCCAGTGCCTCACCACCCTCACAGGAAAGAATTTCCTCCTTAGATCCAATCGAAACTTCCCCTGTTTCAGTTTGAACCCGTTACCCCTTGTCCTGTCACTATAGTCCCTAATGAAGAGTCCCTCTCCAGCATCCCTATAGGCCCCCTTCAGACACTGCAAGGCTGCTCTGAGGTCTCCACACAGCTTCTCTTCTCCAGGCTGAACAGCCCCAACTTTCTCAGCCTGTCTTCATACGGGAGGTGCTCCAGCCCCTGAGCATCCTCGTGGCCTCCTCTGGACTTGTTCCAACAGTTCCATGTCCTTTTTATGTTGAGGACACCAGAACTGCACACAATGCTCCAGGTGAGGTCTCACAAGAGCAGAGTAGAGGGGCAGGATCACCTCCTTCGCCCTGCTGGTCACGCTGCCTTTGATGCAGCCCAGGATACGGTTGCTTTCTGGGCTGCGAGCGCACACTGAAGCTGGCTCATGTTCATTTTCTCATCAAGCAACACCCCCAAGTCACAGGGAAAATGGCTGTGGCATTGTAGCTGTCTCCTGCAGTTTCAACTGAATGTTTGTAGTAAACTTGATTTTCAATTTCATACTGAAAAATGTTTTTCCTAGAAAAACACCCCCCCGAATGGTTTGCTTAATCAGCAGTAGAAGGCTGCTTATATTTTCTATAAAGAAGATGAAAAGGGATTAGCAGGCTGTAACGTATGCCCACAGTGCTTTCCCAGAACTCCCAGAAGAGTTTCCCAAGGAAAAATGACAACATTTAATTGATTCTTGATCATTTTCCCTTCCTCCTTTTCATTCCTTGGAAATTGCAGCGTGCCAGGCTTTGTAAAGCAGCGTTTCCTTTTCCCATGATTGCTTGTCCTCTTAAATATATGCACCCTCTTGGAATATGGGGGGAAAAGCCACTTTCTGAGCACTGTCTATCAGCATACTGTTTCCATGTGGTGTTGCTCTATTTGAAGGCACTGTTATTAGAACTTTTATAACTTTTACAGCGTTTATAAACTCTTCTATGAACTCTTCCTGTTTATTATTAACTACTCAATCTTTTTCTGTCTCAAAATGCATCTGGACTAAAGGTATGTATTTTTTGTTGAGCGTAGGTTCAGCATAATGCCGATAAATCTACTACACTGAAACTAGCGGATTTTGGCCTTGCAAAGCAGGTGACGAAACCCATATTTACTGTGTGTGGAACACCGACGTATGTTGCCCCTGAAATCCTTGCTGAGAAGGGTAAGTGTCCCATAAATAATACAGTTGTTCTGAACTTTCTAATCCTGGAAATACCCCAAAGTGTTCCAACCTACTGATCTGTCTTTGCAGGGTAGGAGGGTGGAGGAAGGAAGCCTTTTAGCTTTTGACAGACACGAGCATGGCATCAGCCATGTTTGCGTTATTCATGTCCATGATAATATAACACAGATTTCCAAGCAGAGAAGCCATAAAATAGCATAGATGGTAACTGCTGAATTTAGGAGATGAGCTAAAGTTCATGTTACAACCTGAGGGTAGTCAGCCCTGTTTCTTGACGGTACCCCAAGAACCTTTCAAGGCCCCTAATGATGTGAAAACACCGTGTGTATGTTAAACTTGGATAACAAGCTGAAACATACTTCCCATTAGAAGGTATTTTGGAGATTTCCTACCCAAAAAGTTTCAGACCTGCAAGGGAGTCAGTTTTGTTGGTGAATAAAGCAAAGCTATTTCTGTCTTTTGTTGCGTGGAGCTGGGTTGCACGTCTCCAGTTATACCCAGTTTCAATGGAAACTTGGCACTTTCTCCGTGCTTTCTTGAAGGGAATCTGAGGAGGACTGTGTTTGGAATATATGCTGTGTTTTCTCAATGAGTTTCCAGTTGACACTGGCCTTGCGAGACACTGTTTGTGAAACACGAAGAAGAAGAAGAGGCACTCTGTGAAAGCTGTAATTATCGCCAGGCAGAGCAGCTCATTTTGCAAGCGTGATGCACCAGCCACCATTCTTCTGCTGACCTCTTCTCTTTGAGAAACTGAGCAGAGCTTCTGTGTCCCTTGGAAAAGAGAATGAACAAGAAACAGCTCCCTACCAGTTGTGAGTTTTCTCTCTAAACCAGGCCTTTCGGTTTGTCTTGTCTTCCTTAGGCTATGGGCTGGAAGTAGATATGTGGGCAGCTGGTGTGATCCTTTACATTCTGCTCTGCGGTTTTCCCCCTTTTCGCAGTCAGGACCGTGACCAAGAGGAGCTGTTCCAGATCATACAGCTGGGTCACTATGAGTTCCTTTCCCCATACTGGGACAATATTTCTGCAGGTAAGATTCAGCATGGGCAGCAGGTCTGAGAAGTGACAGACGTCATCCCAGTAGTGAGAACTCCCTTTTGTTCAGGACAGTGAGCTCAACGAACCCTGGGGGTGTCTTACAGGTCTTTTATGTGATCCTGTGTTTGCTTTAGATGGGGATTTAGTCTGCTATTACTATCAATGACTGTGGATCTGAATATTAGGTCTGATTGATTTAATGAATTGCTCCCTTTCTGAGGTAAGAGCAAGCATCTGCTTAACCGTGCTTACAAGGGGAAGAAAAAGGTACCAAAAGAATCTCCAGGTTTCTGTTAGGTCGAACACAAACCTCTCAAAAGCTGAGTAATGAAATCCTTGCTCTGCAGAGTGCGGTGTGGATTCCCTCATGAGATCAGTGGGGTCTGCACGAAGTAGTTTCCTCCTCCTTGCAGGCTAGCAGCGTCTTCTGTGCACTCTTGAAAATCAGAAACCCTAACACCCTTCTCTCCATATAAAGTCTTTTAAAGAACATGCTCAACAGCACTCTATGACTTTTATGCTCCTTGACGGATGAGGTATGAAATGCTAATTCCCATGAATATGGTGCCTACAGCATGCTTTCAAGTTGAAATTCCCTTTGCTTTCCCCTCCCTTTCTGACGGGGAGAATGAAATCAGTATAGCATATGCTGGAGTTCTAACATCTCATGTCACTAATTCTATATCCAGTTGTTAGAATATCTCTTGGGGATAGTCACAAAAGGCATTCTGGTAACACAATAAATCGTAATAAGAAGGATGTTTTGTGTGGGTAAAACTGTCAGCATCAGCACATCACTGTTCTTTTCCCCCTCTCCTTTTCTTTCTTTCCTAATAGCAGCAAAAGACCTCATAACCAGGCTGTTGATAGTGGATCCCCAGAAGCGCTACACAGCACGCCAAGTACTGCAGCACCCTTGGATCAGAACAGCTGGGAAAACCAACAGCAGGAATTTGCAGAAGGAAGTGACCATAAACATTGAGCGTCATTTCCGGGCCCAGCGCCGGAGGGAAGCTGCTGCTGAGGACACCTGAAACCCCTTCAAGCTTCTTTAGTCTTCTTTCTATCATTAAGCAATTATTTATGTTTTCTTTTCTAAATGAATCGGGCCTTTAGTGTATAGCTGTTGCTAGCTATCACCATGCCTTTGGGGGTTGTGATTCTGAAGAAGGACAGAGATTGATTGCATCCATCTCCTTTCATATTATTTGTGAGTCCCTCTATTGGCAAGTGGAGACTGGATGTTTCCTGGAGGGTGCCTAATGGTTTTCTTTACTGATTTGGGCTTTTACATTACAAAATGTGTTATCTGTTGTAGAAGACAAATGTTTGCTTCTGAGGCTGACACTAGTGATGACTCTTGTCTCTTTTTGTCTGGTATCTTCCAGGAGTTTTATGTTTATAATGTTGTGTGTTTATAATGTTTTCAAACTAGCTGTCTGCATATACCTCCTGCACTAATTCTATCATCTGTCTCTTCACCAATTCCTGCTAGCAGTGGAGAAGGTGAAGGAATAAAATAGAAGTAAATCTATCCTTTAGCTTTAGGATATGTTAAACAAGCAGCAAGATACTATTTATTAAGTCGTGAGGGAAGCCTTCTAGAGTAAATCAGATGTTTTAATGATATATCCCTCGGCAACATCTTTAATTGGATGCTCTTGGGACAGGTTAATAGGTGGTACAGTGTTTCTGCTGAACGATGGTGGTGCTGTGTAATGTGGTAGTTTCATTTGGTTTGGAGAAGAAGTGGGAAGATCTCTTGACAGCTACCTTCTCATGACTGTAATAATAACTAGCAAAGAGCTTTTCTTTCTGTTCTAGGAAGTCAGAAGTTGAGCAGCTCTAAGGGAGCTTTGGTTCTTTTCCCAAAGATGTATTTATGGAATGATAACCCATAGAAGGAGCCATCATTGTACATCTGTCATTGTTCCGTGCTGAGGGAGAAGAGAAAGCTGGGAAGCTGCTTTTGTGACTTAAGTTAACCGTTGCCTTCATGGTTCCCCTTCCATCAACACACTTCACAGTTAAATCACTTTTCCATGCTTTTCCAGTGTAGGTTAGCAATTGTTTGGTTTTTTTTTCCCTGTTGTCTTCCCTGGGGACTCTTTCTCCCTACTTCCATGAGAATGGGCAATGGGATGAAATTACATTAAAATGCAGCTTGGGGAAAAACAACAGCTTGTTGGCTATGGGAAGGTCTCCCAGGGGAAGTGTCAGATGCTTCGCTGCATGTGTTTTTATAATGTGATTTGATGCAGTTTTAAAGAAATCCTGTGGGGGAGAAAGGTCCTGAGAAGGTCCATGACCTGGAGCAGCATTTGAGCCTCAGGATTTTGGGTTAACTAGTCAAGTCCCAAAAGCACTTGAGTTGTCCATTTGATAGTGCTTTGTCCATGAGTTCCATGTGCTGGCAACTAATATTGATGTTAAAATATCAGTAATATAAGCCTTGAATTTGTAGCTTATAGAAATAAGTGAGGGTATTTTCTATTTGCAGAGCTGCTGCTCTGCCTAGGTATTTCACACTGGAAGTGTCAGAAGCATTTTGGAATCAGTCGAACATTTTCACACCTGTATGAACCAGAATGTTATATTTGGGGAGTGCTAATAACTTGTGTGAACCTTCTGAATGACCCCAGAGTGTGGGATACTGTCATCCTGCCTGTTTCTGTTTCAATGCGTGGCTGTTTTGCTGCAAGAATGATGTGTGAAAGTCGAGACAACTTGGCTCTTAAATGGGAATTGCACTTTCAGTTGAACCGGCTTATTTTTAATACACACTGGACTAAGACTGGCTGTGGAATTTAAGGATTTGTGAAACAAACCACTCAAATCTCTGCTCTCTGGCCAAGTATGATGTATCATACCTCTGCTTCGGAGGTCCTGAGTCGGGAATATTTGCCCTTTTCCTGAAAAGAGGAATAGATTTAAGTGCTTTTCTGAGTTAAGTCTATGTGCGACCTAATATTCTAAGAGCATTACGTGGTCTTTGAGTTCTAGTAATGACCTCTCTGTTAAGTATGTTTTGGATAGGAAACGGTTGGCAAATAGCCTCTGACTTGCCACATTGTATTTTGTAATTATCTTATTTTTAATATATTAACTTAGGAATAAAGTTTGAAGTGACAAAAGAAAAAGAACATTTTTATCAGCCACAATCTGAGTTTTGCAATTGATTTGCCTTTTTCCCTTTAAGAACTGTCTATAGCCTTATAGTGCAGAAGGTAGAGAATTTGCTTGTCAGTACAGACACTGCTCTGGCAGCACTGAGGAACTTCTATGTTGGCATTACTAACAGATATGTGGCTTTAGGCCCTCTTTCTTCAGATTGGAGGCTGAAAAAAGCTTCCAGGTGCTTCTCAGGGTTTTTCCTCTTTCCTTCTTGCATAGATACTCCTATTCTCTCACTGCTTCCAGCATTCTTGCTCTGCCTTTGTGTTGCCCTAAGGAGTTCAGGTCCCCGGTCACTGCATGAAGCAATAGGAATTTGGTCCTTCTGGATAGCTTTAGTCCCTTAATATTTAAACCTGTGTGCCCAGGAAGTCTCTTGTGAGAGGGAGGGCAGTGATTGAAGGGCAGTATAGCAGAGACTCTGTTTCCTCTGAGACACAGGCACTTGAATTCTTTTATTCAGGGACTCCTTCACTGAAGATTGTTGAGCTACTCTGTGGAATAGCTGAATCCAAACCCCATGAAGTCTGCCATCTCTGTTAAGACTGACATTATAGGTGGGTTTCCCATATCTCTATTACTGGAATCTTTGGCTGCAGGGTGAAAGAGGGATAGTGGGATGTTGTCCTCTGAGCTTGGGCCTTTTGGGTTGTGGTCCTACCATGCCAGCAGTAGCAGCAAGAAGTTACTGGAGCTGACTGCTTGCTTCTGCGTGAGTATCCAGATGTGGGGCAGTATTCACCCTGCCTGAGAATACAGTAAATTTGCTGTGCTTCTAAACTGATCTCCCCAAAGACAAGTAAGTATCAGCCTGAAATCTTTCTCCTACCATTTCTTCTGTTGCCTAGATTTCTCTTCATTTAAGCAACGTGTGGAAAACGCTTTTTATGTTGCTGGGCATGCGTTTTTCCGTCCTCTCTCAGCCCACCAGCACTATTTTTTACTGTTGACATTCTTGTTCCTGGAAGGAATATGGGGACATTAACTGGGCTAACAGTGTGTATTGGCACTGCTTGTTCTGCAAGTGAGGTTTATTTGCAACTAGGCTGAAAGTGTCCTTTTCTGAATTAGAATACATGATAGACTTCAGCAGGACAGTGTTTGTTCTGTCTGTCCCCTCAGTAGAGGCAAACTCTATAGTGGACATTATATTTCAATGTTCTTTCCAATAAACTGGAAAACGATTGTGTTGTATTTTGAGGTTTTATTTAAAATTGAGGTTTTCCTGGCAATTTAACTGTTTGGGAAATGCTGGATTTGGAAGGTTTGCGGTAAGCGCCGTGTGTACCCTCATTTTCATGTAGACCTGTCCCAGTGCAGCAGTCCTTTGAACACTTCCAGATGGTTTTCTTTGCTTCTGTGTGATCCTATTAAAAACAACACTATGCAAGACCAAAGCTAGCACTCTCCAACACCATTTTTCTCCTTGCACTGCATCATGTCTGCTATGATGTTAAAGTAATAGTGATGAGCAGAGCTAGCTTCACTGAAGCTTAATGCCCCACAGACTGAATTCTCCCATCGTTAATTCTCACCCTGTAAAATCCAAGTTTGTTTAGAGAAAGGTTTGCTTTGTTTGTGGAAGCAGGCATTGAGAATGAATTGATTCCAGAAGTGGCTGCTCAAAGGACGCAGTGTGTTAGGAGCTTGTGTATATTTCAGTTCTGGTATTAAAGGCAGTATTTCCCTGCAGTATCAGCTGCAGCAGTGGAAATCAAACCGCATCTTATCTGTTGAGGATGTTGTCAAAGAAGCTACTTTCTCTGGATGCGAGCACATGTGATTAAGTGGCTGCTAGTGAGGATCAGTACAGACTCCCATTTATTGGTGCTTAAAGAGACCTCAGCCTCCTCACTCCTGCTAGAATAACTGTTAGAAAGAAATAGGTTTTATGATAATCACACAAATTCATTGCATTGTATTTTAATGGTACGTATATGCAGGGAATTAAACCGGATTTAATGCTTTGCTGGTAGGAGTGGGATTCACTCGTGTTTCCTCCATCACTGGTAGTTGAAGCCAGAGCCCAGCAATGTCTTTTTTAAGAGATGGGCCATTAAAGCTGTCACTGCTACATGCTGTTCCTTTAGAAAAGAAGAGATGACCCCATGTATCATTCAGTTTGCTGATTTATTCTGTTGCCTTGAGCTAGAGACAGATGTTGTATTCCTGCAGAACTTTACCATTTTAAATGAGGGCTGTTTTGATAACGTAGCAATTGGAGAAAGACAAAATAGAAAACTAAAGCTGATACCTTACGTTGTCACTGGAAGTGTATTGAGTTGTCTGAAACTGAAACAAAAACCTGGAACAGTCTGAGAGTTTAGAGAAGTGCAGGATTGTTCCTGTAGAAGATGCTTCAGGAACTCAAGCAATAAGAGCACTTACAGTGAGGGTGCTGAGGTGCTGGCACAGGGTGCCCAGAGAAGCTGTGGCTGCCCCATCCCTGGCAGTGTTCAAGGCCAGGTTGGACACAGGGGCTTGGGGCAAGCTGCTCTAGTGGAAGGGGTTGGAACTGGATGAGCTTTAAGGTTCTTTTCAACCCAACCCATTTCATGACATGATATATTTGATAGCAAGAACACTGAGCCATGCAGGACATTGCTAGGGATAAATAGGTGGTGCAAGAGTCAACTTCTGGGGGTGTTAGAGATTGCTGCGTTGGATAAGGTGCAGGACTGAATAAGGGGTATTCCTAACCACTGTGAAACAGCGATGCATCATGGACAGAAGGTTATTCTGTGTTGTCATTGCTGTGTTAGTTGGTAGAGCTTTCTAGATTTCAGGGGCAACCACTGTATTGTAAGAAGGCACTTATCACAAAGAGTCTCAGTCTCAAACGGTTTAGGCGATGTTTAATGTCAAGGATTTCAGCAATGAAGACAATTTGCCTACAAAACTGGAGTGTGTGGTTGTTAACTGCAGTGGAAAGATGGCAAGGAAACCTTATTGCTGGATTTTCAGATCACAAAATTGCACTCTCTGAAGCGCTTGCAACTACCCAGCTTGCAAAGCTG